GACAAAAGAGGTACCTAGCAACAGAAATCTCATTAAATAAATAATGGCATAACCATGCAAAAGAGTATTACTACTCAGCCATCAAGAAAGAACAGGATCAATATATATATATAAAATACTTAAGTACCTGAGCACATATAGCACATAAAGCTTCATTTGAAGCAAGTTAATATTATCAGTCGGAATCCTATAAAAATCCACAATTTAAAAGTGGAGAGGCATGAAGATAATGAAACACTGATAATCAATGCTATATATAATTATAAATAGTGGCAAGTAAAGTATGTGCTTAAATTTACATGGCTGGCTTTTATACATATAGAATAAATCAAGGCAAACGAACAGTAGGATATTTCCCCTCCTAATGAGGGGCATAAGACAGTTGGGGGGAAAAATGAAACTTAAAGAATTATTTGAATGAGGAATATATTCAAGACAGAAAGTATATAAAAGGCATATATTGGCATTAATATTTAATTATACTCTAAATTAAATAGCTGAGGTCAATACTTGAACAATGATCCATGAAGTGCAAAAATATAGAGCATCCATTAAGTAACTCACCATTATTCTAAGCACTGAGGTCATTCAAAGTGTTTCTAGGTCAATCATTTTCAATTATCAACACTACACTTTCAAAGTACAGTGAAAAAAACCTCCTTAAAAATAATTTTAATTGGGGGACTGGGCGAAAAAGGTGAAGGGATTGAAAAGTACAGATTAGCAGTTACAAAATAGTCACAGGGATTGCAAAGTACATCATTGGAAATATGGGCAATAATATTGTGATTAAAAAAAAAAAAAGAAAGCAGAAGGGGCAGTTGTTCTATATTTTAGAAACATGAAATAGGGTGCTTGAATGTATGTATTAATTGCACAACTATTACTATTATACCTTATTATTAAAATAAACTTCAGGATAAACTTCAAAAACAAACAAACAAACAAAAATTTTAACATCTACTGTAATTTATAGTTTTATCACCCACCATACCATAAAAACCTCATTATAATACTATTCTCCATGTCCATGCCAAGGAGCAGCCTTACAGCTGATTCTAAATCTTAAATTCTTAGACTGACTATTAAATAGTTCAAACAAATGTAGTAAAAATGTAAAGCTTATTAAATTTTCACTTTATAGATTTCCCCTCCTACTGCACAATAATAATGATTCAGATGGCTACATTCTGACAAAAAGAGATAACAAAAGAAAAAAAATTTTTAAATAAAATTATTTCCCTTCTTTCATCCATCCAATATTTTCTTTTGTGGTTCTTACTACTTACCATACCCTCAAAGCCAACTCTGTAAAGGTTCTTAGCACCATTATCCCAGAGAACATATGCTGCACTGTGTGGGCTCGATGCACTCCAGTCTTGGATTTCTGTTACCTATAAAGGAATTTTTTGAGAAAATAATTTTTTAAAGGGGGAGGGAAGAGGTTAGTTCTTTTAATTATATTTAAATCTTAAAAATCATTAAGCTATCATTCTGTGTAACTAGATATGAAAAATACTTATTTGTCAAATATATGTCACTTCTAATATATAATTGACTTTTAATCAGAGGTATTTTTCCAGAATTATAAGGTAATTCTAAAACTATTATGGAAATTTTAAATTGAAAGGCTTAGTGATTATAACAGATTTTCAGAAAATACATAATTCAATACAAAATCTTAAATCTTTACTCTTAAAGCTTTCCTTTCATGAGTCTTTTCTTTTAAACCCGCTATTTAATATAAAATTCAAAATCTCTGACCAAATACCCAGAATGATTCAAGATTAACCTGCTCTCTGGTCAGCTAAAATATGATAAGCATGAGGCTTGATGGCACTGTTCAAGGATACTTGAGTGATTTTGTTCCCCCAGAGTTCCCTCAGTTGCCCCCAAAAGCAGGCCATCTAAGCTAAAATGCCATGTCTATCTACCATGGAAATCCAGACACAATCTCTAGGCCCCACATGGCACCCAACTGATTCATAAACTCGTTATCAAAAAAATTACTGGGTCACTACTGCTTAAGGGTCAAGAATCAACTACACAAAAATGATACACAAGGAGCACTAAACTTGGGTATTATCAAGTAAGCCAGTCTACTGCTAAGAATGGGGAGTTAGTTGTAAATGTTCACCTATTACTTTTCTCCATCTTGACACAATCAGCCATCCTTCATAGTTACTTAGAATGCCAGGATGATGTTAAATATAATTTTTTAAGAAATGACCTTAAAAACAGACTATTATTTCAAATACAATACACAGTGACCCTTTCATTTTTACCCTATACTAAAGAAATCGATTTCTGAGCTATGTATTTTATGGTGCTGTTGTAGAGACAAAATGTTTATATTTAAGATTTAATCAAACATTTGAAAAATATTTCAAATTGTTAGTAAATGAATCCATTTATTCTTTTTAATTGTGAAGTAAATTATACATTATAAAAATATAACATATGTGAATTTTAAATAATAATAAAAAATTAAATAAACACCAGCCTAAGAAAAGAATATTACCGGTACTTTTCAAGTCTCCTGTATGTCTCTCATCAATCCCATCTTCTTGCCTCCCCAAAGAGGTAACTACCACCCTGAATTTAGAGTCCATCACACTGTCTCACTTTGCTTTATGATTTTCAAGACTAACCACTGTATATTATACGCTTATAAAGCAACAGTTTCTAATACTCTAAATAATCTAATAATCTTTAGCAAAAAATTCTTTCTGATTCTAATATGGTCAGATTCTACTTCATTTGGTTTAAAAAATGCAATGCCAGATTGAATAAGTCTGTTTTTATAAAGGGGGAAAGCATCTGACTAAAAAACAAAGACTACAAATTTTATTTAAATCAAATTCATCCTAACTTTCAAATTACTTGGGATAAAAGTAAGTTCATTAGTTAAACTCTGAATCGCTAAATGCAATTTCTTCATTTGCTAATATGATTTAATTATCGAGGAGGAAACAAAGTGGGAGGCATAAGAAAATAACTACCATCAATTTTATACTGTGAATTCTGATTATGAAATATGTGCAGATTGCTCAGCCAGTGTTGCTCAGTAGTTGAGCATCAACCTATGAACCAGGAAGTCACGGATTGATTCCAGTCAAGGCAAATGCCCAAGTTGCAGACTCAATCCCCAGTAGGGTGCCCCCTACTGCACGAGGCAGTCAATGACTCTCTCATCACTGATGTTTCTCTCTCTCTCCCCCTCTCTTTTCCTCTCTCTAAAATCAATAAAAACATATTTTTTTTAAAAAGAAATTATGTACAGAGTGTCTGCTAAAACCATTATGTAATAGGTTGTTGAGAAACTCTATAAAAGATCAAATTGCCAATACCTGCATACATTTATCATCTTAAATCTTAACACCACTAATAGTAGGATACTCAGACTCTGTGATTCCTAATATGATGCAAAAGAAAGCACACAGCACAACTTATGAGGTACTCCAGCCAAAAGAAAGTTAACCTGAACCTAATCAAGCCTCTACATCTAACTAGGGTTAGAGGAACAAGTTTTAAAGTACCATAATCAATCAGCCAAATCCAAAGAACCTGGTTTCTTTAACAAATAATGGCTTTTTTTTTTTTTTTAATGTTGATAATTTTTGAAGTTAGGTGATGGGTGCATGGAAATTTACTATTTTTTCTGCTCTGGTTTATGTTTGAAATTTTCCATGATAAAGTATTTAAAAAGAAAAGAAAGAAAAGAAAGAAAAGAAAGAAAAGAAAGAAAAGAAAGAAAGAAAGAAAGAAAGAAAGAAAGAGAAAGAAAGAAAGAAAAGAAAAGAGAAAAGAAAGAAAAGAAAAGAAAAGAAAAGAAAAGAAAAGAAAAGAAGAGAAAAGAAAAGAAAAGAAGAGAAAAGAAAAGAAATATATCTACTGTACCTACATGAAGCACTTAATTGACACATTCAAAGCATTTGTAAAATGAAAAATGTCTTAAAATACTAACACAGGTAGTGGTACTTAAGAAACCCTTTAAGAATACACTACACACTTCCATGATGTCTTTACATCATGTTTGTCAAAGCTCACACTTAAAATGTTCATTTTTGTGTGTGAGCACTGTTATGACCATGCAAATCACGGTAAGAGTGAGTGGTGGGCCAGTCTGTGTGAGTAGCGCAGCATCAGCCCGGGCTGGTTTACACTCTCCTTTGTTGTTACTCCTCACCCGAGGATACTTTCCATTGATTTTTAGAGAGAGTGGAAGGGAGGAAGGGGGAGAGACCGAGAGGGAGAGAGAGAAACATCTATGTGAGACACACAGATTGGCTGCCCCCCACATGCAGCCTGGGGTCAAACCTGCAACCCAGATATGTGCCCTTGACTGGGAATTGAACATGAGACCCTTTGGTCCACAGGCTGATGCTCTAACCACTGAACCAAACTGGCCAGGGCAGTTTATACCCCTTAATATAGCTCATATTAGCCATATAGTTGAACACTGAGCACATGTAGGAAAGAGGGTAAGATGGGAATCCTGAACCTCAAAAAGAGAAAAAAGAGAGAGAGAATACACTATTCACATTTATTCACATTGGTTATGCCAAGGGACTGGGACAGAGAAGTCAGCATTGAAGGGAAAGGGGGAACTTAAAAACTTCATTCATTCATTCACACAGTAAAAACAAAAGTAAAAAAAAAAGTCAGACAATAAAAACTACATTTGCTCTGGCCAGGTGGCTCAGTTGGTTGGTGTGTCCTCAAACCATGCACCAAAGGGTTGTGGGTTCGATTCCTGATCAGGGTACAAACCTAAGTTGTGGCTGAGTGAGACAGATGGTGACTTAAGTCCCAAGCATTCCTCTGAAAGGGCCCACATACAGTAACAGACTTACTTGAACTCAACTTGCTTTGAGCTCTAGTGCTGGGAGAGCAGCTCAAATGGTGCAAGGATATAAGGGAAGGAGCTGAACTGTCTGCATCAGGGCGAGAGCTAGGGGAGAGCTTTCTCCCAGACAGAAGTGCTGGCAGAGGCAATTGTTCCTTTTATAAGCCTTCCTCCCAAAGAGCTGGCAGGTGGTGCCATATCTGAGTCTTCATCAACCTAGCTAACACTGTTCGCCCTGCCAGGTGATTCCCTGAGACCCTGCCCCACCAAACTGCAGGTCCACCCAAGCATTTCCAGTGGCTTTTCCTTATAAATGGCTTCTCTTGGCTCATACTTCAGATTTTCTAAAATCTCTCAAACAAGCAGCATCTGGCCCCAGCATGCTCTGTACTTCTCACTAAGTGGCTCCAGGCCTAGAACCAGTGGCACCTGGCCTTGGTTCACAGCTTGGCCTCTCCTGGGCACCTCCAAGCCTAGCACAAGTATCAGCCATCTGCAGATTGCTTTGTAGCTCATGGCAGCATTATTTACAATAGCCAAGATATGGAAGCAATCTAGGCGTCCATCAATAGAAGAATGGATAAAGAAGTGGTGCATATATACAATGGAATATGACTCAGCCATAAAAAAGAATGAAATCTTGCCATCTGCAACAATATGGATGGATTGATAGGGTGTTGTGCTGCGTGAAATAAATCAGACAGAGGAAGACAAATGCCACTATGATTTCTCTTATATGTGGAATCTAAAGAGAAAAATAAACAAGCAGAACAGAAACAGACTAATATAGAGAGAGAACATTCTGACATTGCCAGATGGAAGGGCACTGGGGAAATGAGCAAAAAAGATGAAGGGATTAAGAAGTACAAATTGGGCCATAGCTGGTTTTGCTCACTGGTTAGAGCATCAGCCAACAGACTGAAGGGTCCCAGGTTTGATCCCAGCCAAGGGCACATACCTTGGTTACAGGTTCCATCCCTCACCCCAGTCTGGGTGTGTGTGGGAGGCAACCAATCGATGTGTGTCTCTCTCACATCGATGTTCCTCTTTCTTTCCCTCTCTCTCTCTTTCTCTGAAAAGCAATGGAAAAAATATCCTTGGGTGAGGATTAAAAAAAAAGTACAAATTGGTGGTTACAGAACAGTCATGGGGATGTAAAGTACAATATAGGGAATACAGTCAATAATATTGTAATAACTATGTATGGTGTTACATGGGTACTAGATTTACTGGGGTGATCACGTAGTAATTTATATAATGTCTAATCACTAGGGTGTACACTTGAAACTAAGATCATGTATGTCAACTGTAACTGAAAAATAAAAACATTAAAGTAAAAAAAAAAATCATCATTCCTCAATGCTAAAAAGTCTGATGTGAAATGTCACCTCAGTACATGTAGCATTTAGCATAACACAGAATACACACAATTCAATACACATTTGTTGAATGAATCAATAAATGATCAGCAAAAGCATCATAAAATCCAAAATAAATAAATCCAACAACCCACTTAGCCTACTATCTTTGGCTATCCCACCCCAGTGATACAGGCTCTACAAAATTCCCTTCAGAATGACTGCTATAATTGACCCTAGACAGCTCTACACACTACCTGAGAAGAGTTTCAGAGTTAAGTTGGACTAGATAATAAAGTAGCTGCTTATTACCCCCTAAGACACAGGTCTTTGAGAGAACAGAATATAAAACAAGTAAATTCAAATGAAATTTTAATAGCAAGAAAGTTAAGCACATTAGCTAAAGCTCAGGGAGGGTGGCCCAAACAATGTTTAGAAAGGCATTCTGGGCAACAAAATGGAAATATGAAGCCTAAAGGCAGAAAGGTAAAATCTTCCCAGCAACTTTCTCAAGAAATGCCAATATTTACAACACAGCAGGAACAATCTTTTTTCTTTCAGGAAAAAAGGAAATGAAGATTTTTAAAATTATTCTTGGCATTAAAAAAATGGGCCACAAAATTCAATTATAGTAATAATAAAAATCTCCTGACATGTTATATTCTAGAATAACATGATGAACTAAGGAAAACATTTTACCTTTCCCCTACGTCCATTTCCTCCATCCTGATCTTCCCATTGCCAGTCTACTCCTCGTACCACTCTGGCACCTGCAAAGATCCCTCTGGCTGTAATCTTCTTAGATTTTCTACGAGACTCTAACAGAACCCTAAAAATAAAATTATTTTCTTTCAAATTTACATTAAAACAGGCAACATTATTTTTTAAAATAAGATTATATAAAAGGTTATTTTGAAAATATGAAAGACTTTTCTTTGTTCTGGTTAATACCATAACAGCATGTTACAGAAATACTTTCTGTAACATTTACAGGTGATGATGATGACAGTGGTAGTTGGAATAGTAAAAGCAGCTAATACTTACTGAGCTTTTACTATACATAAAAACACTCACAGAGGTATAAAGTTTGTTGTACTCAAGAGGAGGGTATTCCATTAAATAGTAATGGAATCCACATTTGAATCCAGTCTACCCACTTCAGAGTATCACTATAGCCTCTACTACTTTAGAGACAGCAAACTCAAATCAAGTACCTGTACAACTGTTAAGTAAATAATATAAATGAGGGCCTAAGAAAGATAGCACCAAAGAAATGACAAATGGCAAGTAGCACTTGACCTCAGGCTTATTTAGGAAGACAAGAGGGAGGAGTAGGGACTTTGATGAACTCAAGCGCATTATTTATCTACGGGGTACAGGTGCTCCTGTGCTTCAGCAGACTCCTACCACGAACAAATGTAGGCCCAGTGCTACCTCTTGACTAACCTAGCTATCAGAAGCTTTCCTAATCCTATTTTTAAGGCTGAATAGTATAAAAATTTAATACAAACAAGGAATTACAACTAAAGAAAAAACTTTCCATACCGCTCACTTCCTGGTGTAGTAATTCTATAGAAGCGATGCCTTAAGTGATGCTTATCTCCATGATAACAAACTGTGCACAAATCATAATTTGTACACTCTGCACACTTCCACCGAATGCCAATGATTGGCTGCTGGCGGCAGGTATCACACATGGTTCCATCATGCTTGATGCCTGTTAATTAAAACAAGGATACACACTTACATTAATTACAGGTATTACTTGAATATTATTTCTTAAGGGGAAAAATAAGAACATGGCATTTTACAAAGTATTTCAAAAAGGAGGAAATAATATTTCAATGTATCAGTTTCAAGATAACATATTACGAATATTTTAATCAGCACAAATTACATACTAGTTTCTATCCCTTCTTTTTTTATTAGTAAAACATTTCTCAGTAGCACTTCCCGTGTTCTCGTCCACAAACTGAAATTTAGATTCAGTCCAGAGAAAATAAAAAGAACCCTTTATCTCCAAGAAGATGTTTCAGACTTCAACACTCAGGAATCTTTTGAGGAATTTAAACTTATCCTCCAGGTAAATAATTACTACAAAAGAAAAGACAATTTTATCCTCAAGGTATCATAAAAACAAACTACTAATTAACTTAAGAATTTTTCTCTAGGTATTAACTTTGTCCCCACAAACAATAAACTTCAGAAAATGATTAGCAAGCAAGCTTCCCAGGTTAAAGGGTAGCAATATACTATAGTTGAGTTTGTTGTGGTTTTTTTCTAAGGGATAAAAAGTAATACATCTAGAAAAAGAAAATAAGTACTTGGTTATATAACCTTCACTAAAAATGTTCACATGCATGGATGAGACAGACATTAGAACTATAAAAGGTACAGCTAAAAAGTAATGAAAATAACACATTTTTGCAAAAGGGTGGGGAACGTCCAGCCTACGGGCCATGTATAGCCCTCAAAATCATTTGGTCTGGACCTGCCAAGGCCTCACTAAACAGAAGTAGTTCTAGCCGTCACATTAGGGGTGAGTTAATTAAATGTTTGACCAGCCCAGCCAGCGTGGCTCAGCAGTTGAACATCGACCTAGGACCCAGGAGATCTTGGTTAGATTCCCGGTCAGGGCACATGCCCTGGTTGTGGGCTTGACCCCCAGTAGGGGATGTGCAGGAGGGAGCCAGTCAATGACTCTCTCATCATTGATGTTTCTATCTCTCTCTCTCCCTCTCCCTTCCTCTCTCTCTAAAATCAATAAAAACATATATTTTTAAAAACTATTAAATATGAAAAAAGGAAACCATAGAAGTGCTAGAAAAAAAGTTGAACAGCGTACTTTACAATTTTGAATAAAGTTTATCTAAGCATGTCACAAAACCTAGAAGTCACATGCATGCCCATGTGAGCACACATATACATAAGTGTATAAACAGAGAAAAATCTGAAAGCCCACTACAAAACTGCTGACAATGATTGGGGGTGCAGAGATGGAGGCACTTTCACCTTTTGTTCTATATACCTTTGAACTGCTTATTTTTATTATAAGCATATTGCTAACTTCATAATTTAAAAAGAAAACACAGCCCTGGCCAGTGTGGCTCAGTGGGTTGGGCATCCTCCCATGCAACAAAAGGTTGTTAGTTCAATTCCTGGTCAGGGAACATGACCTGGTTTCAGGCTTGATCCCCAGTAGGGGGGGAGCAGGAGGCAGCCCAATGGATGTATCCCTCTCACATCGATGTTTCTTTCTCTCTAAAAATCAATTTAAAAATCTTAAAAAAAGAAAACACAAAACAATAGATACCAATTTTATCCTCTCAAACTGGCACAGATTAAAAATAACATGTCAGTGCATGTGAAGATGGTGTCCAAAGAGGCAGTCTGATACTTCCAAGAGGTAAATCAAAATTGATACCACCTCTATAGAAGGTACTTGCAAAATGTTTCAAGTGCCTTAAAAGACCGTGACTCTGGGTTCACATTTTTTAAAAGGTATATCCAAAAATAGTAAAATTGTAGTAGATAGAAACAAAAATTTAACATAACTGACATCAAAAATATGGGGTTATTTATGGGTAAACTATGGTAATTCACAAGGGAAATTCAGTTATTAAAGCATGTTGTAGAAGAGATATTACTGACATAGTAAACTATATTATTATTTTATAAAGCAATTTGCAAAGAATTACAGTATACCATTTTGGTAAATAAATTACATAATATATACAATTCACCTGCACAGAAAAACTAGAAAGATAATATCCAAAATGTGCTGACTGAATTATCCTTTGCAGTTTTCCAAGTTTTCTGCACTGAGCTTACTACAGGAAAGCACTATGATCAAAAACATAATATCAAATAGCATAATAGTAAATGTCTCCACAATGGTTAAGTTTCTAAACAAGGTGTAAAACAGGTCTTCTGTGCCAATACAAAACATAAAATGCACTAAACAATCAGTATCCCTATGCATGTAGAGCTTTATTCTAAACTGTGTAGCACTTCAAATGAGTTAGTTGATAAAAAGCATAAGGAAAAATGTATCTCAACCTCCCACCGACCAAAAAGAGAGAAAGTCCAGTTTTCAGCTATTTACATATTTTCATCTCTATGTTAATTTTCCACAAAGTACAATGATAACATTCGTGAGCTCACAAACTGAGTACAGGCCTTCTTTAAAAGAAACCATTCAAACACACAATGATAACTGGTGTAAAAAAAAAAAAAAAAAAAAAAAAAAAGGCCCTTCTACAATTCATAGTTTTAAAGAATACTCCAGGAAAACCATTAATACACACAAAAGCACATCCAAATCCTTTCTGGGTTCCCACAGTTCAAACATCAACAAAGCTAGTGAACAGCTGTGAAACAGACTAATGCTGAGAACTGGAAAAAGTAAACAAAGCAACATCCCCTCTTCCACTACCAAAATGAGCACTAAAGAATTTTTAAGGAGAATGCAATCAACAGAATTTAAAACAAAAGTTGATATTTAAAGAAACATAAAACAGATGAAGGGGTATTAAATAAACAGGCCTAAATTTGACTCCTCTCTCACACTGGTAGCTTTTTTGCTTCCCCTTACTACATCTACCTAATTTATTCTCATCTAAAACCATTTTTTCCCAGTCTAAACCTCCTTTGCCCTGGCAAGAATTCTTTCTTAAAATTTTCATTTCATAAAACTTAATTCCCTAACTAAACCGTGCTTTTCTCCTTCCTATAGAATACCATCTTACCCTCAAGAGTTAATGCTCTTTCCCTTTGCTAAGCTTTATGAAGACATCTGCCACTGTTAAATGAACCACCTGATGATAGCTTTTGACTCATTCTACTAATACTCAAATGACCATCTGCTGTTTTAATGGCATCTAGCCTAAATGCAATAACTTAGAGAATTTACATAGCTTAAGTCTCTTTGTTAGAAAATTTTATGAGAACAGTAAAACATGCTAGTCAAGATCAATAATCACAAGTTAAAAGTCAATGAAAACAGCTCAAATTCACAAGGCACTGCAAGTAAAATGTTGAATTTCTAGAAAGAAAAGATGACTGACAGAGAGAACTAGAGTTCTCACTACAAGCAGCTCCCTGCATGAAGCACTTAAACATGAAACGAGAATATCTAAATTATCACTTTGTATAATAGCAAAAGTAAGCAATATAACTGTTCATTAACAAGAGTGGAAATGTAAATATACAATGGAATACCTAAAATAAATGTTCAACAGTCACACAATTCAACATGGATGAATCCTTGAACTGTAATGCTGAATTCTGTAAACAGAAACTCTACAAGCCAGGAGAGAATGGAACCAGATATTCAAACATCTGAAGGAGAGAAATTACCAGCCATGAGTAATATAAACAGCAAAATTACCCTTTAAATATGAAGGAGAAACAAAGACATACATAAGCTGAGAGATTTTATCACAAGAAAACCTCACTGCAGGAAATACTCAGGAGAGCTACTCTACCTGAAACAAAGAATATAAAATCACAACACTACAAGTAAGATCACCGAAAAACTTACAGCATAAACAGATATAATTTGTGAAAACAAAAACATAAAAGAGGAGGGGGTAAAGGTCTGAAAAGGTAAAGGAGGATGAATATTAGATGCACTCAAAAGAAAAAAAAACTATTGTATATATGCAACTTTATTTTTATAAACCTAATGGTAACCACACACAAAAAATCCCCAAACCAGGCCACATAGCTTAAAAAAAGAGAACAAAGAAGAAGTATGAAACACCACCAAACAAAAGCAACAGACAGAAGTACAAAGAAAAAGAACCAATGGAGGCACAGAGCTACCAGAAAACAAAAGATAAAATGGCTACAAGAAACCCTCATACATCAATAATTACCCTAAATGTAAATGGTCTGAATTCACTATAAAGAAGCAAAGAGTAGCAGAGTGGATCAAAAAACAAAACCCAACCACATGCAGCCTACAAGACACACATCTAAGCATCAAAGACAACGGTAGATTCAAAGTAAAAGGATGGAAAATGATTCTCCAAGCAAATTACATCCACCTTGAAAAGCAGGTATAGCCATACTTATATCGGACAAAATAGATTTCAAGACAACAGAGATAACAAGAGACAAAGATGGACACTTTATAATGATAAAGGGGACACTACATCAAGAAGATATAACACTTCTTAATATATATGCACCCAACCAGGGAGCACTGAAATGTATAAAGCAACTACTCGCAGAAATAAACGGATTAAAACACAACCATAGTTGAGGCCCTTAATATTCCACTGACAGCTCTAGGCAGATCAACCAAACAAAATCAATAAAGAAACATCAGCCTTAAGTGAAATGCTAGGCCAAATATACATAATTGACATTTACAAAACCTTTCATCCCAGAACATCAGATTATACATTCTTCTCCAGGGCACATGGAGCATTCTCAAGGATAGACTATAGGTTGGGTCACAGAACTAGCATTAACAAATTTAAGACGACTGAAATTATACCAAACATATTCTCTGACCAGGATGCCTTTAAATTAGACATCAACTGCAAAAAGGAAGAAACCCACAAATACATGGAGATTAAACAACATACTACTAAAAAATGACTGATCAAAGAAGAAATAAAAGATGAAATCAAAAGATATATAGACGCAAACAAGAATGACAATACAACATATCAAAACTTCTGGGATGCAGCAAAAGCAGCAATAAGA